AGTGGAGGGGAAGTGATGAGGAGATGCAGGGACAACAAGGCCATGAGAGTGGGGGGCTGAGATGGTGTGGAGGTGGGGGTCATTAGGCTTGAGAAGGTGGAAGCCTTGAGACCAAAGCAGCCAGGTGTGAATGTCCCCAGGGGACTGGGGACCGGCTCACAGCTGATGATCAGAGCCAATGACCAAACCGGACAGGGTCGGGGACTTCCAGGGAGAAGGGATATTTGAAAGGTTTTGGTCTAGAAGAGGTGGGCGGGGGAAGGGGACTTTCAGAGCTGTGTGGAGGAAGAGCAGCATTCCCCTGAGAGGGCTCTATGGGTAGCATGTTCTGGGGGAGCCCTGCTTCAGCTAAGATCAGGAGATGGAGGCTCAGTGCCAGGCAGGATCCTTGGCAAGCGGGCTGAGGGATGGGTTTACACTGGTGATGGTGTTCAGCCCACCCCTCTGGGAACATCTGCTCATGGCCATATCATAGTGGGGCTTTGGATTCGTGTAACTTTGGTTCCAGCTCAAACTTTGCCCAGGCCTCGTTGTAAAATCTTGGGCCTCAGGACTAAAAAACACCTAGCAGTAGTATGGAGCTCAGAATGGGTTAGTTTTCTTCCTTTCCCCCTCCTCTTCCCTCAGCTGCTGGGCCGGGGTGGTGTGAAGCAGAACGGGGAAGGAGAGGGGCTGTTCTCGGGAACCCCTCTCCAGGCCTCGGGGCGTGATTGCTCAGGGCTGCAAGGCACTGTTGGAGCCTGGTCTTCTGCCCGCCCCCCTCCCTGTTCCCAGGGGTGTGCTCAGGCCCATCCCTTCTCCTCCCAAGGAGTAGCTGTCTGTGAGTGGACCACCAGGCCTGGTGAGCTGCCTGCCACCCCGAAGCTCAGCTCTGAGCCAGAGTGGCCGGGGCTCTGTGCCCAGCGCCACATGGAAGCCAGGAAGGGGGCTCCCGGGAGGCAGCTGTGCCCACCTGCCGTCACGGTGCTGGCCCTCGCCTCTCTGCTCAGCTGCCTGCCCGCCTCCAGCAAGGCCAAGGTCTACAGCCGCTGCGAGCTGGCCAGAGTGCTGCACGACTTCGGTCTGGATGGATACCGGGGATATAGCCTGGCCGACTGTGAGAATTCCTCTGCTGCTTCCTTCTCCCTGACTCCCGCCCTTCTCCTACCCACCCTCCTCGTCTGTCACTCAAGGGGTTGCTCTGAAAGCTTTTTGAGCCTTAGCTGTCATCTGTAACACCAGGGGTACGTGAGCTGAGTGGTAGAGTTTGCCCAGCCCTGTGTTAAGCACACAGGAAGCAGGTGGCAGGCAGCCAGCCTGGAGTCACCCCTTCTTTCTCCCTTGCTGGTGAAGCTTGGCGTCAAAGGAAATGAACAGCTTTGTACCTTGAACTTAATCATGGTCACGAGGATCAGACGTTCCTACTGAAGTTTAGGAAAGGCAAACTGAACAAATCAGTAATCCCACACTTTTCAGGCTGGTGGCAGCTACAGATAGCCTTCTGCGAAGTAGAGTCACATCTGGACTCTTTTTTTTTTCTCTAGTTCCAGCCCCCTGTATAGGTCCCGCCTGTGTCTTCCTAATCTTGCCTCTAAAAATTCAGCTCTTGTAAATTCATTCATCACACTTATCGGGCCCTGCTGTGTGTGCTCACCAGTGAGGAAGTGGGGAGATTGCTAACCTTAAGAGGCGGAGGACTGAGGCCCAATCCTGTGCCCTACTGTTTGGTAGCTGAATGTGACCGCAGACAGGTCACTGTGCCCCCTTTGAGCCTGAATGGATGCATCTGCTGTAGGTAGGTGGGCACCTGCTTGTATGGGACCTGTTCTTTGAGCGCCCCGGCCTAACCCGAGGGCCTGCGCTCTGCTCTGCACAGGGGTCTGCCTCGCTTACTTCTCGAGCGGCTTCAACACAGCTGCTGTGGACCATGAGGCCGATGGAAGCACCAACAATGGCATCTTCCAGATCAACAGCCGGAAGTGGTGCAAAAACCTAAGCCCCAAGTCCTCCAACCAATGTCGGATGTACTGCTCTGGTAGCCGTAGCCGGGCCGGGGCCCAGGGCTGCTGGCTGGGGTTGGGCCCCTGCACCAGCCTGTGCTTTTCCCTCTGCCTTTATGTCTGAAACGAGGAGAGGGAGATGGGATGAGTGATGAGGGTGGATGCTCCATGAATCTGATTTGGGGTCCCAGAGAAGGAGACTGGCTTTGGTGCCGTAGAAAAGAAGGGGGATTGTTTCTGAGAGCAGGGGCAAGGGAGAGGGTGATGATACCTGTGCTTCTGGAGTGGTCAAGAGGCAGGACCGGATCTGGGGCAGAGGAGGATGTGGGTGTGTGAGAGACAGAGAGACCCCCTCTGGATGCCCGACAACGCCTCCCATTCCCTCATTGTGTGTTTCCATGGCTTCCCATCCCAGACTTGTTGAATCCTAACCTCAAGGATACTGTTATCTGTGCCATGAAGATAGCCCAAAGGCCCGAGGGTCTGGGCCACTGGTAAGTGACTTGGGCTGGAAGGCCCAGGTGGTGTGGCCAGGGCTGGTGGGCAGTAGCAGGGCACTGGCCCCTTTCCTTGCCTCACTTTGGTTTAGGACCCACATCTCCTTCCGTGTTCTCTGAGCAGTGATTGGCGATGGCAGCTGAGGTGGTCTCTCCTCTCCCCTGTTCCCCATCCCCAGGGAGGCCTGGAGGCATCACTGCCAAGGCAAGGACCTCAGTGACTGGGTGGATGGCTGTGAATTCTAGGATCCCCACCAGATGGACCAGACCACGCACAGCAGGCTGGGAAATATGGTTTGGTTCTCCACCCAGGTGTGGGACAGCAAGCCAAGTAATAAAGTATAGTTTAACACTAAAGTGATTCTCAGCTTCCAGTGTGTTTGCAGGTTCCTTGGGGCCCAAGCACCAGATGCTTCCTCACCTCACCTGTCCACCGGGGCTGGCTTCAGGTGGACTCTAAAGAGCTAACTGCAGAAAGCCTGCTGTTATTCTTGGTGGTCTAGGGTGGGCGGATGGGGGTGGCGGGGTCAGTGCCTATTTTGCCCACACCTGGCAGAGTTTGGACCTAGGGTTGCCAGATTTAGCAAAACAAACAAATTATCAAAACAAACAACAACAAAAACAGATGCCCCGTTTTGGATATATAATAAGCGATTTTAAGTAGAAATATTTCCCAAATATTTCATGGGCCATACTTATATTTAAAAAGTGTTTGTTGTACATCTGAAATTCAAATTTAACCGGGTGTCCTATATTTTACTGGCAGCCCTAGCTGAGTCTTGGGTTGTGTAACTCTGACTTGAGAAAGTCCTTGGGACCCTTATTCTCTGCAGCTCTGGCTGCAGACGGCGGCCATTCTGCCTTGGCCCTCCTGCTAGAGACTGCTGGCACATACACAATCTTGCCACCCTGGGGTGTCCCACAGGGAGGGACCGCCGCAGGGGCTTCGGCTTCTTCTCTCACCAGCTCTGCAGTGCCCTCTTGTGGCAGGAAATTCAAGTGTTGCTGAAGGAGACAGTGTGGCCACTTCTGGGTTAAGAAGTCACCATGTGCTGTCCACCACTGCTAGGAGGCGGGGAGGCTAGAGTTGGGGGGCTTCGGTGGCTTTCAGGCAGCAATCTGCACAGCCAGTGTGGTTCTTGCTTTCCTTGGTACTCCGCGGGAGCTCAGCAGAAGGCAGTACTGTTCCCCACTAGCCTGTAAGGTTGGAGTCCGAAAGAGGAAGGTGGGTGGAGCCTCAAGACCACCCTGGTGAATGTGGTGGCAAGAGCAGCCTTGGAGGAGACAGGGTAATGTGCCAGAGGGCTGAGCCCTGAGTTTGGACTTTAAATTCTTCTGGTTTCAAAGAATGTTTTAGGTGCTGAATTGTTTGAGACACAGTTGGTGACTCCTAGGGAGGGGAGGGGACTACAATGTCACCTTCCTATTTGCCATCTCCGAATGCCATTGGGTCACCAAATGCCAAAGGGGTGCTGGACATCCACAACTGCTGAGGCAGACCAGTCTCCTTCCACTGCTGGTCTGGTGAAGGTGGTGATAAAACTTGAGAGCTGCTCATTTACAAATGGGCACCAGTGAAGGACCCTGCTGGGAATGGGGACTTCCTTGACTAAGGGACCTATTACATCAAAGGCTGGTAGGAGTTTCTGTCTTTTAAATGCTAAAGCAAACCCTGTGTGCCTACCACGTGGTGTGCATTATCTAAGTTACACCCTGGAACAACAGCCGTGTTGTAGGGACCATTATGGTCACTATTCTATAGGTAAGGTGACCAGACGTCCTGCTTTTGGTGGGACAGTACTGGTTTTTAACAATTTGTCCCACGTCCCACGGCGTTTTAAAAAAGTCCCGATTTTTGGAAAGAATGCAGGACAAGCTAGGGACTGGTGGGACAAGGAGAAGGGAATTTATGGTTTTCGGCTGCTGAAAAGGTTAATGTAACTCCATTTGGGAATGAAGAGGTTAATGTAACTTCATTTGGAAATGAGAAGGCTATACTCTGCTCCTGGGCAAGGTCACCCAGGTGGACCAGCCCTACTCCTTTGAGCCATAGGCGCCACCCTATACATAATTTTTTAATGTATTATATTTGTAAATTGTACTTATGTTGAAATTAAAAATATATATTACAATACTACTTTTGCATTCTATGAAAATTTTTGTTGCTCCATATAGACCAAATTTTTAATTAAGAACACCCCCCTCCCACCCCATCAATGGTGTCCTGCTTTACCAATGGTAAAATCTGGTCACCTTATCTATAGGAAATAAATGGCCCCATGTGTGGTGTCACTCATTGTACTTTGCTGAGGGGTTCTTATGGTCAACTGGCCAGAGACCTGTGTCCTGTCTGCCTTTGGATGATCTGTGTCCTCTACTTCATTGTACTTCAGATGTCTGCTGCCTACATCACCCAATTGCCCCACTGGGCCCCATTTAGCTCATCTGGAAAAGGAATGCAGAAGGAGGCAGAGTAAGGCTCTTAGGACTGAAGGGAGAGTTGTTGAAAGGATTTGGGAACTCTGGGATGGCATCATGGGCTCAGGGCCACCCACAGTGGAGCTGGGCAAGGGTCAGGCCTGAACAAGGAATGTGGGGAGCCTGGCTGGGTGGTTGCCCTGGAGCAGGTGAAGATGGAGGATTATCCAGGGGAGACTTGCCTGACCTCCCTGGGGAGGGACTACCTGGAAGTGTAGCAAGAGGGGTTGCAGGCTCAGCTCCCAGGCTGGTTAGAGCAACCAGGCTGTGTCCTGGTGTTTCCCTGTCCCTGCTTCCATTTCGTTCTCACCCCTCCTTCTAATTGCCATTAATCCTGTCTACTAACCTTCTTACTGTCTCTGGAAACTATCCCTCTTTCTATTCATATACAGCTGCTTTGAATGGAGCACTCATTGCTTCTTTTCTGGGACAATTGCAGTGGCTTACTAAGATTGTCCTTGCTTCTAACATTGATCCTTGCTATGTCACCTCCTCCTTCAGAGTGAATTTTCCAGCCTTGTATCCTGGCCCTAATCTTTGAATTCAAGTTCCTTGGTTTGATATACAGGGTCATTCATGTCCTAGAATCAGCTGACTGGTACAGATTCATCTCTCAATTATTCAGAAACTCCTGCTGAGTTGGGTCCTGCTTCTGGCTGTCAGTTTCCTGAGAGTAGCATGTTGCTTCAGACCTTTCACCATCACTGACTGTTCTTCTTCTCACTCATTATACTCCAGTTAATAAGCTCTGTCCTATGAGTGCAAAAAGCTATTTGTACCACAGGGCCTTTGCACATGCTATTTAGTCTTCATTCAGCCATTTCCTCAGACCTTTGAGTGGCTATTCCTTTCTCTTCAGTCAGGCCTTGTCTCAGGTATCTGCAAATCTGCCTGCCTGGCAACTTCTACCTATCTCTCAAGGCTTCAGTCAAAGTTGCCTCTAACTCAGCCATCTAGCCAGGCCTAAGTGCATCTCCTTCAGTGAGTGCCCTGTGCCTTGGGAACCTTTGTAGCTCTTGCTGCTTGGGTTTTTGCATACACATCTGTTGTCTACCTTTGTCCAACTAGAGTCTGTGTCTTTTTTTTTTTTTTGAGACAGAGCCTCAAGCTGTCCCCCTGGGTAGAGTGCTATGGCTTCACTGTTCACAGCAACCTCCA